TATTGAGAGGATATCAGTGATTGTGAGTTTGTTGATGATCGTGAGACTATATACGATTTGGAGACTATCGGTAATCATGAGACTATGGACGTCGTGAGACTAACTCGTTGAATGTAAGATTATCGACGATTGTGAGACTATTTACGTTCATGAGACTATAGCTGATTATGAGACTATCGCCGATAATGAGACTAGTAGTCGATTGTGAGACTGTCGTCGATTGTGAGACCATCTTCGATTGTGAGTCTGTCGTCGATTGTGAGACTACCTACAAATGTGAGACTACCTACGATTGTGAGACTATCGACAATCGTGAGACTACCTATCAGTCTCAACAAAACTAACCTGTCTAAAAGATTTAGATTTGCTGACTACGAGATAAAATGCTATTATCTTTATATCCATTCAAAATCTAAATGGTCATTTCTAGTAGGCTTATCTGCGTGATTCTGGCATTCCATATGAGGACAAAAAGCTTACGAAATTTTATCTACTGGTATTAAATTTCAAATGAAAAAGAAGGACATACGTTTTAAATTTTTGTTTCCCTGACGTCTTATGGACTGTGACAAGCTATTACGGCTATCAGAAATTCTGCGGTTCATAACGTTATTGCGTTGCTTGATCGCCGTGTCCTGCTGTTTTACTTTTGGTAAGACCCTAAATGACAAAAATTGGGTTTAAAATGTTATTGACGAGGAATCGGTCCCATCATTTGTCCTTAACACGACTGCCATTAACAGGAGTGTTATGTTTTCAGGGTTCATGTATATATAAATGTGAATATATTTATTCTACTGTGACTTCCAAACGCCTGGGCAGATTAAGACGTATAGCATATCGTTGGAATCCTTAAGTCATCAACATATGCCGGGTGATGTAGGCTAGGTTGTCTTAAAAATACCAATGAGGTCGCTACGTGGCTCAAATAGCATACAGCCAACTCTTAGTTTGCCTATTCTTTCCTTTCACGGGACCACAGAATCCGGGACCTTTGGAAGGCGTACGAGGAGCCGAAGCCAACTCGCAGAGGCCCGTTGAACAGTTTTAATCTAAATGTGATGGGACATCAGCCGGCAATTATCCCTGTATGCACTATAAAAGTACACACAAGGACAATCCCCGGTTGATGCAGGACTATTGTGCAAAATGGTTAAAGATTATATGCTTATTGGTATGGGTGAGTTTGCCTATTATTAATAGTCTGTTTTACTGCACTTTTTGTATGTTGTATTTTTTTCTGTTTTTGGCATTCATGTCTGGTGCCGAATTAACGCAGTTTTCTTTTTTTCTTTAAGGAGATTCGCTCTCAACAGCTTTCTGTAAACAGTTATGGCTGGACTAACCTATTACTGGTAATACGGTTGTTGCTGAAGACACCATATTTCAAATGAGGAGCGGTTGGATCTGGTCTTCTTACAGCCGAAAACGACTGGCTTTTCCCTTTCGGGGAGCTGTTAGGTCTTCTTGGTCTGTTGAAGGCCCTAGAACAATTATATGTATAATACTAGCTACTCTCGGCTCAATTTGATCGTAGCGTGATGTTTTATAGCCTATAAGCACTCAGGAACATCTATAGCTATCAGTGAAAGAATTTTGGCAATCCGACCAGCGGTTCGTCTATAGCACTCAGGAATATTGCAGCTATCTATAGCTATCAGTGAAAGAATTTTGGCAATCCGACCAGCGGTTCCAAAGATTACCCCCTATAAACAAAATATACAAATTTTACCTCTTTATAATTATAGTATATAGGTAGATATAGACCAGCTCAGACCCGAGGCGGTACGTTGATAAAAAGACTATGTCAGGGCCTCACTAACATAACCAATTTTGATACAGCTGTTTATGAGCAAAACAACAACAAACATGTATCCATACATACTCAAAAACTTTTACCTTCATAATATTAGTAGGATTGGAATATTTAGTAATATAAGTTTGGGAGAGCCATGCTTCGGCACGAATGGGTCGGCTCGACCGGAGTGATACCACGGCCTCACGGAAAACCGGTGTGAAACAACCACAGCGTTGTGTTTCGACGTGTAAATGAGGTTACCGGAGGCTCAATCATTTCCGTTTCCCAATCCCTAAATCTCCAAATCCTAATCCTAATCCTCCTCCTTATCCCCAAAAGGTCGGCAACGCTCTCGTAACTCCTCTGTTGCGGGTGACCATGGGCGGCGCTGATAGCTTACCATCAGGTAATCCCTCTGCTCGTTTGCCGACCTACAACATAAACCTTTTTGCAAACAAATAAACGATCAAGCCGTCGTCTAAACAGTTCATGATTATGAGCCATTAAAACTATTCTAGAATTCTCCACGAATCATATACGAAAAGATATTTTTTAACAAATAAATGATCAATGTTTCACGCACTGTTTCTTACCAAAAATTGGTTTGCAATTATCACTGTTAACTTTTTTAGCCACATTCAACATTCTGTCCTGATCCCCATCTTAAGAAAAGCTGGTGACTAATTTACAGACAGGTATTTTTATAAACGAACAGACCTGATGGTAAGCAATCGGCGCCGCCCATGGACATCCAAGGAGCTCACAAGTGCGATACCGGTCTTTACGGGATTAGGTTTTTGAATATTTTGAGATTGGGAAGTGATGGAGGAGGTGAAGGATTGGGCCTACAATAACCTCAATCACACGGCGAAATATAACGTGGTGGTTTCACGGCAGTTTTCTGAGGCCGTGATATCACTCCGGTCGAGCACCATTCGTGCCGAAGTGTAATCACAGGAAAGTCTTGACCTCGGTGGAGCAGCTAAAGCTAGACCTTACTTGGAATAATGTGGGTTACTAACCTGGGGTTCCTTATAGCGCTGCGTTTCTTTGAGACTGGTGGTGACTCATTAATCCAAGAATGCAAATAGGGAGCCGGGTAGGTTATTTGTCTGTGAGGTAATATGGTAGGAATATTAGTAAAAATATTTAGTACTAGCTACTCTCGCGCGGTTTCACCCGCTGCTCAGCTCAATTTGATCGTAGCGTGATGTTTTAAAGCCTATAGCACTCAGGAACATTGTAGCTATCTATCAGTGAAAGAATTTTGGCAATCTGACCACCGGTTCCAAAGATTACCCCCTACATACAAACTTACAAACATATAAACCTACAAATTTTACCTCTTTATAATATTAGTATAGATTAAATACAGTTTCATAGAAGGTGTTACAAAATGCATTCGCATTACCTGATGGTAAGCAATCTGCGCCATCCATGAATACCCGCTACACAAGAGGAGTTACGAATGCGTTGTCGCCCTTTGGATTAGGGTTTCTGAGATTTAGGGATGAAGGAGAGATTGGGGAAGGTTTATAGGGCCTCACTTACACGGCGATACACAACGCTGTGGTTGTTTTACGCCGGTTGGACAAACATACAACGATTTGCCCGCCCTATGTAAGGCGAGAAGCATGTCAGAATCTTAATGCCTAAAAATAACCGTGTTTCGTCTGCTCCGGGCTGGTCTGCAGTAAATTATTTAGCTTAACCTGCAATTTTGGCTGAGTCTTCTGCCTACCCGTTCACAGAATAAAATATGCGACTATTATACCATTAATATTTTTTTTATGTTAAAAGCCGGCAAACGAGCTTACGGATTACTTGATGGTAAGCAATCGGCGCCGCCTATGGACACCCGCAACGGAGGAGTTACGAATGCGTTGCCGATCTTTTAGGGATTAGGGATTTGGAGATTAAGGGATTGAGGAGGGATTAGGGGAAGGAAAGGAGTGGGCCTCCGGTAACCTCACTCACACGGCGAATCACATCGCTGTGGTTGTTTCACGCCGGTTTTCTGTGAAGCCGTGGTATCACTCCGGTCGCAAAGATGTTTATTTTTGCCCATTTCTTTTTATGGAATACGAGGCAAACGAGCAGATGGATAACCTGATGGTAACGACTTTTGCGCGCAACTCCGTTCGCGTGGAATAGTGACTTCCTGCAGATTTTTGGTATAAAAACTATCCTATATCCTTTCTCGGGTTCCACACTGTCTAAACCAAATTTCACAGAAACCGATTCAGTAGGTTAAGCGTGAAGAAAAGACAGACAGACAGAGTTACTTTCGCATTTATAATATTAGTTTGGATTTAGTGGTGCATTTAATAGTCATAATATTAAGACAAAATCATTTTATAACAACACCACGTAGGTACTTACATGGTTTTCTTATTCTTGCTCTTAGCTTTAAGCTTTTCCATATTTTTTTAGATTATTAAATTATTTTATTATAAAATTATATATTTTCAACATTCATTCGCGTCCTATGTCATGGCTTACTATAAAAAAAATAATGAAGTATTTCATTTATTACGTCATCCATTGACATTTAAAATCTCCCGCGCCATGTTTAATTTTGACGTTTCGTTTTAAAATTAGTCATTGAAGGTAAGAGTACAAATATTTTTACTTTTACCTTAATATATTCTTGTAAATTTAGTACGGTGTAATATTAACTAATTTGTATGTTTTATTACAAAAAAATATTGGTAAGTATCGGAAACGTGATTATTTCGAATTGTTTCATCGTTTCTGAACGTAGAATAAATAAAGACAGCCGAGACAGCCAGGCGAATTCCAGGAAATGCCTCTGAGTGTTGCTCGTGCATAAAAGTTCCACTTTTATAGGGAGTATTGTATCAGATAGAGTGAACAATTTTTTGTAAAACGTTTTGTATAACTAAAAACATATTTTATTTTTGTTGAAAATGCAAAAAAATGTGAGGATAAGTACTTTTCAACAACTTGTTGTAACTGTATTGAGTTAATATGTGTAAAAGGTATTTTTTACCTTAATGTTTTAATTTTTTCCTTATAGCAGAAGAATAAAGCGACAAAAAAAAAGATAAAACAAATTTCAACCAAAAATATCAGTTGGGATTGGTGACCTAATTAACCATTGATAGGAAGAATTAATGTGGGTGTTTGAAAGTTAGCATCTGGTATCATTTGAACTGTCAATCAGCGGCGCGCGGGTGGCGGGGAGGTATGTTTTTGCATGAGTTTCCTTGAAGTAAATTTTTTTGTCATCAGTTTTTTGTCTCTCTCATACTGTACCGGTGGGCAAAATCGCACAATTATAATGTTAAACTACCACTAAAGATAAATGTGATGACAGAATTAGTGAAAAGTGATTAATATCGAGATATTTTAATACGAGAAATGTAAGTAAATACGTGTACTAAAATTAAAACAGTTTTGTAGGTGTGCGTTGGTTGCGCTGTGTGTTCGCATTGGTGTTGAGTGTGTGCGTCAAAATTTCTTGGAATTGGCTCAGGGCGTTCGATACAGGTAAACTGTCGGGTCAACTCACCCCTGGAATTGCATAGATGTGAAAAAGTTGCTAATGCTACTGGCATTTTGGAAAGGTTACCTTTGCCTAGTTTTTGTCATAGTGTCATAAAAGTGGAAGTTTTAGTTTGTGGCGCAGTTAGTGTTTAAAAACTTTTTAAAGATCGTAGGTACTTAGTGTTAAAATGTGCTTCTAAGAGGTAAATTCAATTATTTTACTTATTATATCTCTTTTGTTGAGTGTCCTAGATAATCTAGGCATACTTTGAAAATGCTGATCGTGCAATTTAGTGTAAAATGCTAGACTATTAGTGTTGGCAATATGCTAAGTTGAAAAGTCATATTTCATTGTCTATTTCTTCCAATTTTTGTATCTTCCATACACGGATAGGTTCCTAATTTGAAGCTTTTATAGTTCACATCAAGATTTAAAAGGTAATTTCCATATTTCTGTCTAAAATCCTTTGTCTTAACTTGAACTCCGGCCTTCACTTGCTATTGTCACCTCGAATACCAGCTAAACTCACAGCACCAGGTTTGTAAGTAGTTCATATGTTATTCCAGACTATAATCTATCTCTGTGCCAAATTTTCTCCAGATCCGTTCAATAGTTTCTACATGAAAGAGTATCAAACATCCATCGGTAATTGAAAACTTGCGGCTTTATGATATATTTAGGATATGCCTTTTTTTCAATGGTAGATTAAGACTACACAGTGTGTACTAAGTGTGGGAGAGCCATGCTTCGGCACAAATGGGTCGGCTCGACCGGAGTGATACCACGGCCACACAGAAAACCGGTGTGAAACAAGCGTTTTGTTTCGCCGTGTGAGTGAGATTACCGGAGGCTCAATCCTTGGGATCCCAATCGTGGGATCCCACAAATTGTTGTTCCGGGTCTGTATGTAAAGTGTGTATGAAATTGTATGTTTGTAAATGACAAATCCTAGTGTGGGGCAACATTTGTATTAAAAAAACTCCCTGAATCTCTAATGACTGGACTATGTGCCTCCTTTAAATAACAGGGGCTTGCTGTAATCTTTGCAGACAGGTGAGCTGCAAATTATAGTTTATTAGGTTCAGCCTTATCGGAGAATGCTGCTTTCCAGTCAGTTAAATGGAATATTCTAGAATGTTTAACGTACCAATACAAATATTCTATCTCCGGTATTTAATTTACCGATGAAAGTGGAAACTATTTCGTTTTTACTTCTCCTCAAATAATATCTTCTGATTTATTTCGTTGCGGGATCCAAGACAGTCATTCATGTCCCTGGTATGCGGCGGACTTCAGTGTTTCGGTGTTTTCATGGTTGTATCTACTGTAGATCCTGGTGCACAGGAGTTGCAGCGGTTTTGAGAGGTAGCGGCGGGCTTGTCCATTACCAATACTAACAAAATGTTTAGGCTTTGTGTGGACTATATAGTTGAAGGTTTATGTGTAGTTTTCACAATACTAGGTCACATGTTCTTTTATTTATACGTAGCGAAGGATGTAACTACCATGAGATTTACTGTATTTATTGAAAACTAGCTACCCTCGCGCGCTTTCACCCTCTGCTCGGCTCCATTTGAACGTAGCTTGATGTTTTATAGCCTATAGCACTCGGCACACAACATTGTAGCTATCTATCAGTAAAAGAGTTTTGGAAATCCAACCAGCGGTTCCAAAGATTACCCCCTACATACAAACTTACAAATTTTACCTCTTTATAATATTAGTATAGATGATGACTTACTCACGTGACATTAACTGGCGAAGCTCGACTAGTTTCAACTCACAACGGAACTCTTATTCATGAGAAGCGTGCGCGTCGCGAGATCGCTTTAAAATTAGGGAAGGATGTAACCAGCCATTAGTATTAAAGAAAAGAAATTGTTAAACAAATATGCATTAATTGTCTTCAAATAATAAAGTTCATTATTTAATTTCTTTTTTCGCTTATATAAATAAATATATATATTTATAACTGGTCTGTCTACCAACTTTCACAAAAAATACCAGTTTTTAAATCTGTTTGTCTGTCACTACGTCTATGAACTCATAAACTACTAAACAGTTTTTGAAGCTGTTTTCATTCAGTGAAAAGAGTGATTCTTTTTTTTTTTTTTTTTTTTTTTTTTTTTTTTTTTTTTTTTTTTTTTATTCATTAACAATTTATATTGTGTTTGAAATTACATACAAATTTTAAAATTATAAATTAAATACAATCACATTAAAAAGAAATATACATACAATTACAATAATCAAAAATCTAAATACAAAATAAAATAAAATAAAATTCAATGTCACCATTTTTACATAAATTTTAAAAATAATTTAAACTTACTCAGTCTCACAGTAATTAATGTCATAAGTTTTGAAAATTCATGTCATTTTAATTTGTCGATATATCATCATCTACCGAATAAAGACATTTCTCCAAAAGGAAAGCCTTGAGCTTTGACTTGAACGAGCTCGTGTAAATTATACTCTTCAAGTCCAAGGGCAACCTGTTAAAAATTCGCACTGCTTGATATTGAGGACTATGTTGAACAATACTAAACTGAGGTATTGTCTTGCTTTTAAAATCTTTCCTACGCGTACTTTCCCTTAACTGTCTCTCCTCATTTGTTTCATAGCTATATAGGTATTTCTTAAAATTCACCAGCAGTACTAAAATGTAGAGACTTGGCACAGTTAGAATTTTTAAATTTATATAATGTGGCCGACAGCTCTCTCTTTGCGATATTCTTACCATAGTTCTTATAGCTCTTTTCTGGAGTACAAAGGCTCTCTGACAGTTATATTTAAAACTATTCCCCCAAAATTGAACGCTATATCTTAACCTAGATTCTATTAGAGAGTAGTATACCATTTTAAGGTGTTTTATATCTATTTCATCCCTAAGAGTACGTAAGGCATAACACACAGAGGAAATATAGGAGTCTATGGCTTGCAATTCCCTTTTCCAATTCAAAAATTTGTCCATATAAACTCCTAGAAACTTTACCTCGTTCACTATGTCTATTTTACTTCCCTTAAGTGTGATCGTCATGACGTCCTTATTTCGGGCGGTGGTACTAAATAACATTACTTTAGTTTTTTCAATGTTTATTATGAGCTTGTTGCTCTCAAACCAAGAACTAAAAACTGATAATACAGCATTAACTTTAAAGGAAAGCTCTTGTATATCATTAGCTTCAATTATGGCATTAGTATCGTCAGCAAAAACTGTTAGATTTATTTCAGGAAATATTGAGTTAATATAGTTAATTAGATCATTTGTACAAACTATGAATAAAATAGGTCCTAGTATTGATCCTTGAGGTACGCCCGCTATAATACTTTGTATGGACGACTTATGGCTTGCGCTACCTTGCGTGTTATTAATATCGACATACAGTTTCCGGTTCTTTAAATATGAGGAGAAAAGTTGCAAAATTTTGCCTCTCACGCCGTAATGTTCCAGTTTAGCAAGGAGTAAATCATGGTCAATTGTATCAAAGGCCGAGCTCAAATCAAGGAAAATGCCAGCTACCCGCAATTTTCTGTTCAATTTACTGATAATATCTCCTACCAATGTATATATAGCATCTCCTGTGCCGACATTTTTTTGGTAACCAAATTGCCTCAAGTGCAACACCTTTTTCAAATTTAGATGAAGCATAAGTCTATCCTTCATAATTTTTTCAAAAATTTTGGAGAGTATGGGGAGCAATGAGATTGGTCTATAGTTTTCCGGATCTGTTTTAGAGCCTTTTTTGTGCAGTGGAATAATTTTTGCTATTTTTAACTGTTCTGGAAAAATTCCTTCAGAGATGCACTTATTGTAAAAACTTGCCAAAGGTTCAGCTAAAATATCTAAATTATCCTTGACCACTGCTATTGGAATATCATCATAGCCACATGATTTCTTATTTTTCAAACTATTAACCATCTTTACACATTCATTAGAAGAAACAGGCGCAAAAACCATGTCGCTTAAAACTCTTTTAACGCTTTTTTCAAGAATTCTATGGGGATCAGGTTTCTTAACATTACTGAAAAAACGTTTATAGTTAAATTGATTTGCTAAAACATTTGCAACGTCCAAGGAATTTTCTATAATTTTACCGTCCACTTTAAGCAAGAGACTTTCAGACTGTGGTGCTTTTATTTTATTCATGCTCCTGTTTACAACTTTCCATACCTCTTTACTTAAATTATACGACTTATTAATTGTTTCCGTTATTGTTATTTTTTTGGCTTTAGATAGTACCCTTCTGTATATTCTTATATAATTATTTTTATAATTCTGAACCGTTTGTTCTAGCCTATTAGCACTACCTACACATAGAAACCGTTTCATTTGACTTGATATTTTAATGCCTTTTGTTATCCACCTCAAATTGAAACCCTGTTTACGTTTAATTTTCTGTTTTCTTTTTCTGTAACTTTCATTGAAAATTGTGACAAATGTCTTCAAGAACGTATTAATTCCTAAAATACTCCAATTAGTTTCAAGAATTTTTTGTCTAAAAACTGTACGATTTTTATCGTTAAATACTCTTTTATTTATAATTACATGATTACTTCTATTTACTTTACAATCAATTATATTGTCCAACTTAAAATCACCCAACAGAGCACCGTGTCCATCCGCTAAACCATTATGATCCACCTCACATTGTCCAACACAATCATCAGGCAGATTAGTTATTATGTTATCTATACATGACGCGTTATTGTTGCGAATAAACGTAGGTGTATTAATAAGCAGTCGGAAGTTATAACATGCCAGCAGACTCACGAACTCAGTCCGGTATTTGCTCTCTACCATTAAGTCCACATTAAAATCTCCGCATATAATGCTTTTCCTTTTGAACAAATATTCCAACAACTTCTCAATTT